AGTTTCCCCTGTGAGATGGCGCAGCAGTCTGCGGAAAACGCAAAAATTGTCAAAATAGACTAACACACGCGGCACGAGAAAGGCGACTCGAGTAGAGATAGTGCTCTCGGCAGCTTCCTACACGCTAAAAGTTGTTCTTCCTGCTCGATCTTTTTCCCAGTGCTTTTCTTGCGTCAACAACCAAGTTTCACCAAACCCAGAAAATGGCATCGAAGCGCAAGGGAAAGGCTAAGGAGGAGGCTCCCGTCGTCCAGCTCGGTCCCCAGGCTCTCGATGGCGAGAACGTCTTCGGCGTGGCCCACATCTACGCTTCGTTCAACGATACCTTCGTCCACGTTACCGATTTATCGGGCCGGTATGTTGTTTTCCTCATTAGTCCAAGACTGATCGACTAACCGTTTCCCAAACCTAGTGAAACCATTGCCCGCGTTACCGGCGGCATGAAGGTGAAGGCTGATCGTGATGAATCGAGCCCCTACGCTGCCATGTTGGCCGCGCAAGACGTCGCTGAGAAGTGCCGCACTCTTGGCATCAACGCTCTGCACATCAAGCTTCGAGCCACCGGTGGAACTAAGACCAAGACCCCCGGTCCGGGCGCCCAGAGTGCTCTCCGTGCTCTGGCTCGTTCTGGCATGAAGATCGGCCGAATTGAGGACGTCACGCCAATTCCACATGGCGGTACCCGAAGGAAGGGAGGTCGCCGTGGTCGTCGTCTGTAAACACATGTGCTGTTTGAAAATAAAATCCACGCCACCATTTTTTCAACATCAAACCGACTCGTTATTTGGATTTTATTTTTTGAAGTAACATGTGACAATAAATAAGTGAAATGGAATACTGATCGTCAACCCAGCACAACTCATCTAGTGAACTCGAATCATTTCGTACAAGTTGGGCAAATTGGTGTCCACCTTGTAATCGGCCTTCTTCTCTTTGCACGCTTTCTCCTTACTCGCTGGTCGTCTCATGAAAGCAAATGTGAAGACGGTGGCCAGAACACAGACTNTGAACTCGAATCATTTCGTACAAGTTGGGCAAATTGGTGTCCACCTTGTAGTCGGCCTTCTTCTCTTTGCACGCTTTCTCCTTACTCGCTGGCCGTCTCATGAAAACAAATGTGATGACGGTGGCCAGAACACAGACTAGGCAAACAAAGACAATCGATAGGAAGAATCCATAGGTGGGCATACAGATGCTCTGAGAGTCAGCCAGTGGCTGTTTGCTGCTGCCGCTGCTATTGCTGCCTCGTGCCACCAGCGCCATTTGACTTTCCGCCGGGTCGAGTGGGAAGGACAGGTCTCTGGGCGAGACCACTTGAATTGCCTTGTTGAGGCCCACTTGACTGTTGTCCTTTGAGGTGGCCAGAGTGCCCACCACCAGGTGCTCCGTCACATCTCTCCGCTTGCGAATGTCGCCCTCATTGCTCATCTCGCCATTGTTGTACAGATTAATCACATCCGCTCCAGGCTGCTGAGTGCACTGCTCCGGGCACTGGAACCGACAGATTTGTATGGTGCACTGGAAGTGTACCTAAGGTGTTGCAAAGAAACACAAATAGGTTACAAGTGTAAGGTTATGTATTTCATCTCTACTTACTTCCATTGAATCGGGGAACTTGAACGCCTGAAAGTGGGCGTAGCTGAGTACCGAGGCAGATGATCCAAAATTCTTTATTTTCGTAAACTTGGACATTAGTTTACTGCGCACTATGCACCCGTTGCCATCGACTAGCTCAATTGGCGCTCGCTTTCCATCGTGGGCAATGCAGTTCCGCACTAGCATGTCGAACTTGTTCTCCTCGTCTTTAATCGCCAGTACCATGGTCATCGTCTGGCCAATCTTGACGATGCCTGCCACCTCACTTGCCCATGGCCCCTTGCCAACCTGAATTTGCATCCAACAGCCGACGTTGTCACCGGCAAAATCTGCGCGAACCACGTCAAGCATGTCTACGGGAAATGGTCGAAAGGAGACAGCTTTTTCGTACTGATCATGCCAAGTGCAGCGTAGCTTTCGAGCTTGGTCCCACGCCTCTTGTACTTGCGGATCGCTAAGGGAAAACATAAAAAAGATTAGAAATACTCAAAGAGAACGCATACTCACTATTGAATGACGACCGTGTTTTCAAAAAACGATCCACTGTCCGAGTTTACATCCTCATTGTAGAAGGTTCCCTGAGCATTGCCGCTCGTACCGCAGGCGTTGATAGAGATGTCAAAGAAAATATTCTTTCGACCAGTATTAGGTGGCAAGTACAGACAATTGCGGTAGTTGTAGTGACCCTTTGAGAAGATTACCCCCTGAAATGGCTTATCGAACTCAATGGATACTTTCATTAAACTTTTCTCGCATTTTACGTCTAAGTGAACTATCTTTGGGGTTTCCGGTAGGGGAAGGGGCCACTGTTCACCAGAGTCGCTCTTTAAGCCTCCTGAAAAAGGTCGGCTGTTAATTTGAGCTTCAAAGTAAAATTCTTATTGCATACCTTGTCCGTGATTGTGCAAATTGTCATCGTGTCCGTCAAAGTCAATTTGGTTTGAATCAATGGCAAAGTTGGCGCCTATTCGAGGTGGAGGGGCGTGAAAGACCGGATGAGTTCGGGTGGGCTGAATGCCATTTCGATGCGGTGATCCTCCATTTGCTGGTATGACTGTCGGTGACCGTCCCCCTCCGTTCCCTTGTGCCTGAAACCTTGGTTGCCTGTTCTTTGCAAAGAACTGCGCCACTTCTTGAGGTATCTGCAAATTAAAAAAATAGGGGGTGATGTTCCAGCAATAGATTGTGGCAACTGGCCCTTAGTCCTGTACATACCGGTAATGGATGCACACTAAGCTGACTGTCCGGTCGTCCCTTTTTGAGCAGCGAGTCTTCCTCTCTTTTCACTTGGTTCCGCGCGAAGCTGAAAACATTCTAAATTGGGTCAAAGGATGCGAGATGTTATTAAAAGGGAAAACCACAAGAAAATTAACTTTAGCTTCAACTCTGACACTTGTACTCCTTTTTGCAGCAAACTGTCACCTGTCGGTTCTATTTTTATCTGGAGGCGAATCACTGACGACAATGTGCTCAAATCTGCACCGATTTAGCGTCCATTTTAATAGCTACCTGCTGAGCCATGTGCCTTAGCCATTGAATGTGCAGCCTCACTACAGCAGCGGTATCATCAACGACAATCACAATGGCTTTAGTCAGTCCGATATCGACGATTCGCGATGACCGGTTTGAGCAGTACATTTCTGAATGTGCCCATTGTGTTTTGCACTCATTTCACTGGCAAATCATTGCCTCCTCCAGACAGCTGCACACACTCACTTCTTAGAGATGCGTCTGTAGGGCAGCTTTGAGATACAGGTGAATGGCTAAGAGAGTGCTACTACAAAGTGTTCTGCCTCGGACAAATAATGGCTACTAATAATACGATGTACGATAGGAAATGGTCTGTTATGTGGTGACACAATCAATGTGCCTCGGCAGACCCTCAATTCACCTCAGTCCATCAGTCAGTCAGACAGACAGTCAGACTTCATTCGCCTCAACTCATGTCTAACTCTGCCGCCAACGCGCAAAGTCGCTCGTGGAGGAAAGAGGGATCGACGGTAGAAAGAGGTGCGTAGAATTTGCAGACAATATGGCAATGGTAGTGGTGGCTTTGCAATGTGTCAGGTGCATTTGTTGACTGCTCATTTGACATATCGAAACAAAGTGACATGCAGTGGAAGGGACAGCAAGTGAATCGTAGTGCAGACATGCACTAGAAATAGCTGCCCATGTGTGTGCGTGCGACAGTGAGGGCGAGTCGGAGAGTAAGGCTGCAAACTTAATTGCAGTCACATTGTGGCACAGATTGTTCCCTCGAAGAAGAGTTGCAAGTGATGCAAATGCACTGCTGAGAGAATGGGCAAGAGCGAAGAGGGGTGCTGCTTAAACAAACAAGATGGCCACATGATGATGATGAAGAGGAAGAGTAGATTGCTGTTACCTGCTCTTGGTCACTGTGCCAGTGTGACAGTGCGCGGCAAATTGCCCAGTGCTCCTGCAGCCACGATTCCACTGGTGGTAGTGACCGTGGTGGTGGCGGTGGCGGTGATGCTCGATGGCGGTCGAGTGGGCAATTGCGGAGTTGCAATTACGTTCAATTCTCATTAGATGAGTTGTTGGCACGGCTCGCCTTTTTGGTGTCAGTCTAGTGAGGTCGTATAAATAACATAACAGAGAACATAAGCCAACACCAGTCATCCACTTGGTGAGCTGTGGGAATGGTAGCTGTTCAGTCCTCAAAATGGTCCAATTAGGCACTCTGACCGGCGCAATTGCGCGCACACAGGCACACGCTGACAGACATCTTTCACCTGGGCTCTCTGGCTATTGTGTACTTCAATGACAATTCTCGCTCAGATTAGTACTGCTTGCTTACAACGAAAAACTCACTTCTCGCGCGTTTCTTTTTCATTTCTATTTATAGCTGTTCAGTGAGCTTCACTCGGCCAGTAGCTCAGGTGTGAGCGTGAGTGCTTTCTAATCTACTCGCAGACACGTTTCCATTAGCATCGCTCGTGAGCATCTCACCTTGATTGCAGGCTTGCGAAGATGCGCCATCAGACATAGATCGCCCAAAAAGAGCTCCACTTTAATCTGTCAATAATTGGAGACTCAGCCACTCTGCTGACCTCTGCCTGGAGAATGTGCCCAATTTCTCTAATCTATGATTCAGATTCAGGGCCACAATATGCTGTTGGCAGTATCGCTGCTAAGGACAGAAGCTGATTGGTAGCAACAATAAATGAAAGAAAGAAAGAAAGAAAGCAGGACAGCAATCAAATCTGACCGGCAATCAGCGCAGACAGTTCAATATCGATTCTGCCGAGAGTAGCAGTGCCATTTGACCATTGTTCTGCCTTCTCTGCCGTGCACCACTGACTTTTATCACTGCGAACACCGCTCTCTTATCTCGGTAATGTGCGCTAAATTGACCGATTAAGTTCGTTAAGTAAGTTAGCACTTACTAGCACTCATACACACTCACTAAATCTGACGATCTGCCCAGAACTGTCCATTGACCGACAGTGTTTTTTCGGCTAATGATCGGATAAGCGAAAATGTGACCATTATAATGAAAGTTAGACTGAAACAGCTTTGAGACAGCCGAAAACACCAGGCGATATCTAGCACAAAAAGGAGACAAATGGATGCAATGCAGAGATTGTGACAAACACGGTCACTGACAAATAAGACCAAAAAGGAGAGGGTCAAAGAGGCAAGCAGTTAAAAGAAGTTTCCAGCAGAAACTTACGTTGAAAAGAAATTGGGCGTAGAGGAAGACAAGCACAGAGCGCATCTTTGGTATCGGCGACACAAAGTACTTCAGTGAGGAAGAAGCATTTCTAGGAGTAAGGCACACGGGTAATCCTCGAGGTTGCTGGTGCGGGACGATTTTAGGATTGCTGGTCGCCGCAGACGGTCGGTTTCCCTATACAAATGGTAAATCACACACAAAAAACGCAGAGAATGCCTGGGCTGAAAACAAAGAGGCAAACAAGATTGAACAAGAAAAGAAAAGAAAGCTACTGCAAAGTGCGAATTGAAGACGGTAGCTCTTCGATGGCGGTTGGCCGATGTTCTCGCGACGGTGTGATGTGATCGAATGACGACTCTGGCAGCGGTCGGCCACTGCGATCCATCGCACTGGGGATGACACCGAGGTGAAGGTGGCCTCCGATCGTGAATTGGGGTGAAGGTGGAGAAGAGGACGAGAGAGGTGAAAACAAAGGAGAAAAGAAAGAAAAGAGAACAGAAAGAGAGAGAGAGAGAGAGAGAGAGAGAGAGAGNGAGAGAGAGAGAGAGAGAGAGAGAGAGAGAGAGAGAGAGAGAGAAGAGAGGAGAAAAGAGAAGAGAGGAGAGAACGGAACCAATTCCACGAGATCACCGTTGTCCTGTGCACAGCACACTACCCGCAAACCTATTTATGTCCGACCGCTCTGGCGCGGCCAGTTTAGCATCGTTCTCTCTTTCTAGCGCGCTTCACACCACTGCCCGTCGCTGTGAGTCTGCTGTTGCTGTTACTGCGGAGGCTGATGGCTGGCTGACTGGCTGGCTACCTCGCCGGTCACTTGGTCGCTAATCTCTGGCCAAGGGAAGCAGTCTCTTCAGACAATGGAAGCGGCGGCTGAAGACAATAGACCTATTAGTGCAATAGATCATCATCCGTTCCCTGTGGCTTGTGTGTTGTTGTGCTTGCACATCGACAGTCGACAGCGACAAATCGATTCCAAGTTGGGCACTTCGAACTGGCGTACTGCTAATGCCCACGAACGAATCAAAGGCGCCAAAGACGCAATCAATTAGCAGTTCCCCCCTCTTCAGGCAGTAGCGCCCTGAAGCTCTTAGACCTAGTAAATGAGTGAGTGCATGAAGACGTCTGTGGGGTAAAGTAGTGCAAGCGGAGCATTCGGCGGTATGTTCGCGGTTAGCGGTGACCACCACCGCTTACTAATAATGGTCACTACCGCCGATGACACACATATAAGGGCTTAAGGTGGGCACACGTGCTCAGGAATCAACGAGGCTCGAACAATGACGCCAATTTTAGAAGCACTCAAAGTGCAAACAATGCTGTCAGCAGTGGTGCTCCGCTCCTGGAAACCGGCCAAAGCAATCAATTATTATTGGCCGTGCAGCTATGAATCCGCAATGGGCAGACGGAGGCGTCGCGGATTTATTTCCCACCACTTGTCACGGTTTTCCGTTCTAGTTTTAACTGCAAACACACTGCCGTGCCTAATTAGCTGAATTTGTCATGCAAATTGCAGCAGAGTGCTTTATTGTTCCTCTTCGATGATGATGGCATAATAAATGCAAAGGCCGAGATTACTCACCACTGGCTACATTTTGACAGTACAGTAGCTTGGTGATTACTTTAGAACGGCGTCGATTCCCAGGCGCTTCAGCTCCACCACGTAACCGAAGAGATAATCGTAGCACTCGGTCATAGTTTTGGCCTGCTGCCAGGTTTTCCCCCAGACGTAGACGCCGTGTCGACGGACCAGCACAGCGTTGGTGTTTGGATAAGCGAGAATAGCACGCTCGAGGTCTGCGGTCAGATCCTTTTCAAAGGGCGTGTTCTCGATGATCGGCACCACCAGAGTGTCGTCGTATCGGTGGCTTTCGTTTGATGATCCCTTCTTGATGCCTTTGATCATTTCTTCGTGGCTCACACGTAGCTCATTACCTTCTGCGACAAGGGTGGCCAGAACTGCATTGATGGAGTGAGTGTGAATGACAGCTCCGGCACTTCGGTGTTTGTACGCTTGCAGAAAGAGAGGCGTGCATTCGCTTTGTTTAAGCCCACCACCCGGACTACTCTTCAGCGAGCCATCTATGTCAATCACAAATAGGTCCTTCGATTTGATGCGCTCCTTTTGTACGCCCGATGGAGCAATGTATATGTCATCGCCATCCCGGATTGACATTCCCCCGCCCGTTCCGGTGACCCATCCTAAGCCATACATCAAGCCGCAAAGCTCCGGTATTAATTTTAACGGATGCTCGCTGCTAACTTCAGAGTTGGTCGCTGCCATGGTGAATTGTATCAGTCACAAAAAGACACACAAGTGAGTCGATGCTAATTCAGATGACAAACTTGAGATGCAAAATGACCGGCGCTTTCACTTGCGCTGTTTAGGATGTTTACTAATCAGTCGTAGACTCGGCCGTACCATGTTTATCTTATCAACATTCCCCAAATGATTCGAGCGTCACGTGAAAAGCGCATGTCACATTGACTCGTAGACTCGTAGATGGTGTTACTGAACCGATTTCAGCTTTTTATGCGAATGTAAACAAAGCCAGCTGATTTTAAATGAATCTGCACGATTTTATTTTTTTCCCGTTGATAACTGAATACCATTTTACTATGCAAAAGGTCGGTAAAACATTAAAATACTTAATCCACATGGGACTTTATTGGTAGAAAAGGGACACTTTTTATAGTACATCATTATAAAGGCGTGCAGAACTTCAAACTGCAAAGTCTACGTCACCGTCGTTCTCAACTTGGCAAACATAGATAAATCTTGGAAACTTAATCACCTCGCAATCGCCTGTAAAGCTTATCTTTGTCTATAAATGGTGTCAACACTCTTTTGATATCAAAGTAGTGCTACTGTACATCCAGTTCAGTTTGGTTCAGCGAGTCTTCACATTGAAGTCACCAAATTGTGTGCAGCAATGTCAACTAACGTAAAAAAAGTAACTCTCCAGAAGCCGTCGCTTGAAGAGGTGGCCAAGATTCTCAACGATGGTTTAGGCAAACACTTTGAGCACGCTAGTGTGTCGGTTGTTGATTGTCCAGACTTGACTCAGTCTCCGTTTCATTTGGCCGCCCCTGGTTTGGGTGGCCAGACTGCCATTGCTGACGTAGGCGGTCCGCCGTATTTAGTTCCACTGGTTCAACGAGACAAGAAGTACTCATTTGAACAAGTTGCCTCCTTGGTGGCTGACAAAACAAGTGAAAATGCTTTCCTGATTGGTGCCAGTGCCGGACCTTTCCACTTGGTTGGTCAAAACTGTGAACTGATGCCAAATGTGCTTTTGAAACGTGGCGATTCTGGTGTTTTTGAAGTTGTCGAAAACAACACGCACTTCTCAAAGGTACGCCTATTTAAAATACGCATAAATTTTGACTATTAATTTCATTTTTTTACTGATTGCAGGTCAATGAAAAAGATGAGTACAGCCTAAGCAAAATTTCCGCTTCCGAGTTTGGGTTGTTGGGTAACATGTTTGTCTCCGAAGGCAAACCCTGCAAAGTGCTCAAAGTTGAAGCCCGTAAGCGTACTGGTGCTGATAACTTTGTGACAGCCATGAGAAACGTCTTGAGAGAACACTATCAGCAAACTCCCGTTAGCCTGGGTGGTTCTTTCCTCGTTGCGACCGGCAAGGCAAAACTGCACATCATGCCTGACTTTTCTACAAAGCCGCTGCTCTCAGACGACGATGTCAATAACTGGTTGCGATTCTTTGAAATGGACTCTCCCTTGGTCTGTCTCAGTGTCTTCCACTCTCTAGACCCTCAGCTTGATCTTCGCATCGAGCACACCCACTGCTTCAGTGATCACAACCAAGGTGGTCACTACCACTACGACACAACGCCGCAAGATGTCAGGTAAGACTAGTAAAGTTAGATTTCTTCAAACGGGCAATGAATTTTATCATCTTCTCCTTTTAGTTATCTGGGTTATTTCAACTTGGCATCTGCTATTGTTCGCATTGATGCGCCTAAAGAGACACATGGCATTGGTCGAGACTAAGGTTATGAACACAGTGCTTTGAGGTGAAAAGGGCGTTTATTGGACTGAAAAGTGAACATCGGTAAAACAAGAGAAAAACATCAAAATGAGGTGAACATTCGAGACAACAAAAATAAATAATTACACACAAGCAATGACCGGTGAAAATGGACAGGTGAGGATATTATTCAATTAGAAAAATGTCTATGATTGACTGAGTTGAGATGCCATGAGAGAGAGAGAGAGTGATAAATGAAGTGCGAAATGCTGGTTAGGAAATGGTGGCCAAATGAACTGCCGGAACCTGGAGATAATACTGCGGCTGCAGTAGGGAGAGCTCACAAGAGCACGGACTGTTCGGGTGGTTGGGGCACTGCAGACTGACTACGTGCTCCTTGCTGACAGTGCTGCTGCTCGGCAGGGTGTTCCGAAGACGAATCAGGAGGAAGACGGTGATGATACAGGTAAGCAGGAGGAGGAGGATGAGGAAGACCAGACCGGCTGCAAAGCCAGTGGTCGACATGCAGATGACATTGCCAGTGTCGTAGTGCAGCCTGCGCTGCACCACCTCGCCACTTCCGCCGTTGCCATTGGCCAGTGGCAGATTGAAGGCGACATCACCGGGGGCGACCACCTGGATGACCTTCTCTGTGGAGACGTCCGTTTGGGAGTCTGTCTTGTTCACCTCTCGCCTGCGCCTTAGCTTGTTGAGGTTCAAGGCGCGAGGCATGCCTCCGGTGCCGCTGATTCCGTAGCTGGGCTCAGTCTGATTCGGCTGGCCACTCTGAAGACTGCTGGCGACGGTCGTCGTGTGAATTGTGCTGCTGCTGCGAGCACTGCTGCTCTGACGAGTTGATGAACTGGAAGGCAGTAGATCTCCCTTTCGATTGGCAAACTTCTTGTCCCCGTCCAGGTGTGACTCTGCTCGAGAATTGCCCAGGAAATCGGGTGAAGTGTCTGAATCGCAGGTGGGCTGAGGACATTCATGACGACACACCTGAATGACACACTGGAAGTGCACCTATGGTAAGAGAGAATCACATGTTAAATAGGTGTTCTGTTTAAATGGTCAAAGTAAATACGAACATTCATACTGTCGGGAAACTTGAAGGCTTGGAAGTATGCTATTAGTTTTTAAAAAATACTGTTAAAATAACATTCGTGCAGATTTTTAAACTTTCAAACTTACCATAAGAAACTACTGATGCACTGTGGCCAAAGTTCTTCACCTTGTTAAATTTTCCCTAAAAAGTACACTCATTAATGTTAATATTTTATTTTGGCATTGAAATAACATACCATCACTTTGGACCGCACAATGCAGCCATACTCATCGACCAGTTGAATAGGCGGGTGTTTTCCATCGTGGGCAATGCAGTTCCGCACTAGCATGTCGAACTTGTTCTCCTCGTCTTTAATCGCCAGTACCATGGTCATCGTCTGGCCAATCTTGACGATGCCTGCCACCTCACTTGCCCATGGCCCCTTGCCAACCTGAATTTGCAAACTTATGCTTTAGCAGTGGCAGTTACCCAAATTGACCTATTTTACCTGAATTTGCATCCAGCATTGAATGTTGTCGCCCAAAAAATTGGCAGTCACGGCGTCAAGCATATCGACGTTGAAAGGTCGAAAGGTAACTGCTTTCTCGTAAAAGTCGTACCACGTGCATCGTAATCTGCGAGCCTGGTCCCAGATCTCCTGCACCTGAGGATCGTATTGCACGATAATCGTGTTTTCGATGAACAAGCCCAATGAAGAGGCAGTACTGCCGCCCTGTTCACTGCTGGTCATGCCACAGGAGTTGAGGTATATCTCAAAGTTGGCTTGAAGTTGTCCAGTGCCTGCAATGCATTATTTGCAATGGTAAAATTAGTATATCCGTTAAACTGGTAACAGGTTTTTCACAACGCACTCACCAGGAGACAAATGGACACACTTTGGATCGCTACGGGAGAATAGATTAAAGATTAGAACAATAGGCAAAGGCAAAGGCAAAGACTACTGCGTGTGCTAACCTGTAGTGGCCTTTGGAGAAGACCAGTCCATTGAAGGGCCGATCGAATTCAATGTTGACTTTCATCAAGTTCTTCTCACATTTGACGTTGATTGCCTGTGAGGGTAAAGCACGGCAGTGGTAGTAGTAAGATTACGTAGGCACGCAGAAAGAGGGAGAGGGAGAAGGAAAAGGAGCTTGCCAGTGGAAGTCGAGGTCGACACAGTGGCACACTTGAACTTGACCGAGAGGGGCAATCGATTAATTAGAGGTAAGGTGCGATGTCTACATTCATTCGACTCGCACGCAACTGTCAAGTTGTGCTGTGCAGTCGGTGCGGCGATGGCTATTTGTGTCGCAGTGAAGAGAGGTGAGGACAGCACTGGACTGGCACTCTGGCACAATTGCGAACACCGTCTTAGTCGGCCGACCTCGCCGACCTTCCCCAGCACTACTACCCTTGCACACTTCCCTTCTTCGCACACTGCCCATTGTCTGACACTTGATCATCAAACCACAGTCATTGATTTTAATTGAGCTAATTGAAATACAGCAAACGGTTTGCTCTCAGTACGGACTGTGTGCTTCAGTGCCACAACTCTCCAGAGACGCTCAAAAGGCAGAACTCTTGTTGTTGTTGTTGCTGCAAAATATGACTTTTCAAATGCTAAATTGCCGAGTACAATCTCCACTTGAAAGGGGGCAATGGTAGAGAAGATGCAAATTGTCTGACACCGTTTTGCCGCCTCTAACACATGCAAATAATAGAGCGCCAATTCGCTGTGCCCATCAGCTGAGCACTGTACAGCACTGGTGGTCACTCTGCGGCGCCTTCACTAGAATCAATCATTGTACTTTAATTACACACAGCGCCAGCCGACAGAAGGCAAGGCACACTTGCACAAGCTTTATCCATTCTCTCAGTCACTAGCTGGATAGAATGTTTGTTCTGGGCGATTCAGGGTGGATGATGATCAAGTATGCAGTGAGCAGCCCATTCAGCGCCGTCAATCTCCCAGTGATTAGTCATAGATCGCATTCGTTCAGCAGTCCTTCTACTGCGGCTATCACAGGGGAAAGACTGACGGCAGTTCAGTGAGCTGTGAATAAACGGCGGTAATGGCGTCAGGTGTGCATGCAGGCACCTCCATCCAGCCGGCAAGTGAACGATTTGCATTGGTTTGCCCTTTCGCTGGTGTGTGAGTGCTGTCCACTGGCAGGTCAGTCAACCTGGAGAGTGCTCACCAGTGGCCAGTAGACCTAATGACCAACATATTTGCCAGTTAGTCTTGCGCAGAGTGTTTTCGCTGCATACCCACACAGACAAACAGACAGACACGCTGAGGCGCCATCGACCTCAATTTGAGCGACCCGTTCATTTCACCTCCATCCAAGTCTGTGAAGTCGTTGAAACAGTCGCTGGCTGGCTGACTGTGTCAGGCAGCACTCGTGCCATCACTCGGTCAATCGGGTGAAATCCAAATTGTAATCGTGAATTGATTTGCCTATCTGCCAATTAGTGCAAACTATTTGAAAGCATGCTGAATCATGACTGGGCAGTCATGTCATGATTCATTACCAGTAGCCATTATTATTTTTACTATTATCAGCTGCTCACCTTAATCTGCGATGACTCTGAACGGGCAAAGGGCCATACTTCATTATTGCTGGGCTCATATTTACTGGGCAGGTTTTTCCTTGTCAGCATGTTGGGCAAGTCGTGTGGCATGTCCATGTCAGGGTAAGCTCGATGTTCCGCTGGAATGGCCATTGACTCCTCTTGCAGTAGGTCTGACTTGCTGTCGATTTCTTTGAGAATTGCATTCTGGTGCATAATAAATCAGGGCATTAGAGGGAACTACAGGTGTCACTGCACCACTTACCGTTACCAAGGTGAACAGCATTACTGTCAACGTCAGCTCCAAGGTCAAGTAGGCGCGTGCCATCGTTTTGCCGTCTGAAGGAAGGAAGGAAGGTAAGTAGGAAGACTAAGTACATTAGCAAAGAAGTAATGCCCTTGAAAAGGCTTTGCCCTATCAACAAGGGGAAACTAGTCCGCTTTTGGTAAGACCCGGTCAGCACTGCCGCACCACTATCGCCTGTCGTGTCAGTCTGAGCAGATGCTCTTATCAGATCGATGATCAGCAATGCTAATTGGGAAGGCGGCATTGCTGCTGTACTGCGGTATAAGCGGCAAGATAAGAGCGGACACTGCCAGAAGAGAGAGAGAGAGAGAGAGAGAGCGAGGTGTCCTCGATGTGCGCCGCATGGCACTGGTCATATCCGCAACCCGCTATGACTATGTCACTGCTGTCGCCTACTGTCGCCGTGCTCTGCGATGTGTTACAATAGAGATTGGTTAGTTAACTTACGGGTGGACAGCCAGCAGATAGCTGCCCTGAAACTTGTTGTTTACTGTCTCACTCTGCGCGACACTCACCTCCCTCCACACTGCCTCCCGAGCCCTACTGAGGGGTTAGCGAGAGCACAGTCCGTTAGCACTGTAGCACTGTACATGGTAAATCGTCCAATAATTGCACATCGAGACAATACACACTGCTCACCATTAGCAGTCGCTGCCATCGGTGATTGCTCTATTTGGCGCGAGCACGACCTGCCAGCAGAGAGATCGGCTCAGCTTGCTGAGCTCTTCGATCCGAGCTCGGCTAGTCAATTACCACCTTGCAATTACCGGTGCCTCCATGAGTACTATTGGCACTGGCGGCAGTACTACCGCTTTACTACCCATCGCTCTACACTGCCCGCTCAATCCGCCCTCTTCTTTTATTGATGAATGAATCGAGCCAGATCACTCAGCCGTAAGCAATCTTTCGGCTGACTTTGGTTCTGTCAGAATCGTCACTCGCTCTCCGCTGGCAAATGACAGACCTTTTTTGGACTGTCACCACCATCTTGGCCAACATTCAAATTTGTCCTACGGCCAACGACTATGTTAAAACAAATACAGCTACAAATAAAACTTTACTACTTTGCATAAAAGATGAAGCTAGGGCAGTGTCATTTGAATGCCAAATGTGAGATTAGCGGCGGTGTTTGAAAGAAGAGAAACAGTGTCGTCGTTGATTAGCATGCTCAATGGATTATGGCCACACCGAAGACACACTGACAGTTTGTCGGGTAAGCGAATGCGCCCGAGACTGATTAATTATGCCTTATTATTATCACTGATCGATTAGAAATGATTTGAATGATTAGGCTGATGTAATCGGACTGAAACATGTTTCACTGTGTGCGAGTGCTTTCTAACTCTTTTACGGGCGATAGTATGGTCGAATCAATCAGCAAACTAATTAACAGCTGACATGACAAAGCTATAAATAGAAAGTTACGTTCTCAAGGCGGCGTTCTTCAGCGGATTTCAACTGAACTTGTCACAGCCACCTTGACACTACCAGAGTACACTACCTCCGATTGATCTACAGAGAATGTCCTCTATCAAAGTGGAAGACGATGTCGTGCCGAAAGCAATCAGAAAAAGCGAGCGCATCTAGTCTATTAGCACGATAGGCAATTCGTGAAATCACTGCGTTGAATGCAAAGAACTTTTCGAAAGAAGGGAGCTACTAAAAGAAGGAGAGGTGAGATAAGGTGAAGTGTCTGCTTCAATAGCGACCTCAGCCTCAGCCGGTTGTCTCCCTTGTGGGCCACTGGGCTTTGTTTGCTGTCCACCGCCGATTGTCTTCAATCATACAAGCAAACACAACTCTGATTGACTGTCCTCTACTACTACTGCTGGGCACTGGTGGCTGCAGTGGCAGTGGCACTAACGGCATCCAAGCGAAAAGCCGTAGAAGGTAAAGCGTTCAGGCTACAGACGAGTCCACAATGGGAGCAATGAAAGCGGCTGCAAGGATTTGGTTTACCTGCTGCAGCAGACGAAGACGATGGAGAAGAAGAAAAAGGAGAAGAAGAAGAAGGCGCAGGCGATGATGGTTTGCCGGTGTGCGCTGTCGCTCTGTCAGTCAACCTACATTTCGATTTACATGTCAACTGTCATCTGTCACCTGGTCATTCACTGCTCACTGCTGGCGCACTCTCAGGGGGCACTCGTTCTCACTTTGCCACTGTCTGCTCTATCGATCCGAATCCGAGCAGTCCAAGGCTGGCGTTGAGCACCAGGAGGACAGGCGGCGGCGTGTTTGCAGCATGCCTGCCAAAGTTGCCATTAGACTATGCAAATCGGCGGCCCTCTCCTTCTGCTCGAGGGTAATCACGGTGACTAGTGGCACTGTCGCGCCAATGCATCTAGTGCGACATTATCGATGCACCACCTGTTCCACACACACTCACTCCTTCTGTACAGCTGTTTCGGGGTGCTCTTTAGAGTGTGAGGAGCATGTTCGCCAGTCAAGCATTAGCTCACTGCAAAGCCTCAATTGGCACACACACAGACAAACATAGACACAGAGAGAGACCGACACAGACACCGTCTCTTGATCGATGGACTTTGCATCCGTTTGAGGAGCATTCAACAGGAACGATTGAACTTGTTGCATCTCATTACATACTGTTGTTCTCCTATAAGTTGTAATTTTATACTGCAATAAGTGACTGTGCCAGTGAAACAAAAGCACTAAAAAGTATTATCTGATACTGGTCTTTGAAATAGATAGCTCAGAGATAGATCTGCTTTTGTTACGGCTTTAGTCAGAGGCAGTAATGAAATTCAAAACATTAAATAGATTTGTAGATAAAAGATATATCTATGAAGAGATTGCTAGAATGATGTTACTTAATTTTCGTTGTATTGAATTTAGTAGTTGTCAATAGTCAAATCAAACTTTCTCAGTAAAAAACTGCAAATCTGAAATATAAAAGTGAAGATAGTGAAACTCGCACTTCTTTTGTAATATTTCGTCTTTCTTATTCAGCTGACTATTAGCTTTGTCGCTCCATAAAAACATCATTAGTGAGTTTATTTTTTGCCATTCTTCCCACTACGCTAGAGGAAACCGGAGACTCAAAGTTTTGCCAAATTCACAAGTTGTCTAACTAGAACTGTGTGAAAAATACGAAGCTATTTTGAACAAAGATCCAACTGCAAGTTTGCTTAGAAAACGAACGTTTTTACTTAAAAGGTGCTAATGAAGGTGACTTACCTTTTGGAAAAATGGCGTTCCCGGTGGCAGAAAAAGCAATGGCTCAAAATGGTATTAAATGGGTAGTTTAAGCAGTGGCACAAACAAATGGAATCACAATGGTGGCAATGGATAGACAGCTTCAGTATGGGCGATGCCGGTCAACGGTGGGAAGAAGTGCACAGACTATCCCCTGCACTGCGGTTACACTGAGCGTTCAACTGAGGGAGTGAGTTAAGGCAGTCCTCGCAAGGCATACTAGGCGCATGCAGTTGAGGCTGTCACTGCTGGGGCCGGCACATGTGTCATTGAAGAAGATGATGATGATGATGAAGATGGCAGTACGGTGGTACAGTGTGGCAGTGTTCACTCGTCAGAGAGCAATGTGAAGCTCGGTGTGCAGTCAGCTAGCCGGCTGGTTAGAAAGGAACGCATTGGCCGCACTGACGCCCCATCAACGGGATCATGGTGAGTCGGACGGTGTCGGTGAGTCTGCCAGTGAAATGTCCTCTTGCAGATCAAGGCCTTTCGATCAAGAGTAAAAATTTGCTTTCACAGTGACAGAGAAAAGAGTCAGGCGAGAAAGAGAGAGAGAGAGAGAGGGAAGAGGCCAACAGACGAACGGTGAATGAAGAGAGGCCAACGGGAAAAAGGAGAGCTGAAGAGGAGAGGAAAAGAGAGAGAGAGAGAGAGAGCGTCGAGAGAATATGCAGCCGTCAGGTCGGGTGCGCGCAAGAGACTTTGCTAGTCAATAAAACGTGAGATCTCTCCAGTGGCTACCGTCATTTCATTTTTAGCTCTCGATTCAATTTTGTTTTGATAAATGAAGACGCCAAGGAGCCAAAAACACACAGACACAGACACGCCGCAGTCTTCTTCTGCTGACCTGAGCCTCTGACCCAGATCGGTGCTTGTCGAAGTGTGCGAAAATCCTGTTCCCTCAGTCGATGATCTCGATGGAGCGTTCTTCGCTGGTGAACTTCACAGCCAAGTGCACCGCTGCTGACACTGAACAGCAGACACAAACTGCCATTCACAGAAAGGCCCCCTCTCTCAGCCTCTGTGATGGTGGTGGTGGTGGTGGTGATGGTGGTGGTGNAGTGCACCGCTGCTGACACTGAACAGCAGACACAAACTGCCATTCACAGAAAGGCCCCCTCTCTCAGCCTCTGTGATGGTGCTGGTGGTGGTGATGGTGGTGGTAAAGACCCTGCTGCCAGCAGCGACATCAACACACACACAAACACATCTGACCATGCCTACACTGTCCTTTCTCATTCGACTGCCGCCGAATGGACTTTCATTTAAAGCTCAACCAGGGAGGCGCACAAAGGCACATCATTGAGGCGCATTCAAGCTGACACGCACCTGCTGAAAGAGAAAATATCATTTATTAAAATCTCTGTAGTGATATTTAAAAAAAGTTGGCGCGTTTATAAAAAGAGATGATGTAATCATTTAAAAAATCATTGAAATAACGGCTAGCTTTTGTGAGCAGTAAATGCGTTACATCGAAAAGTTCTGGGTGTAATCATAGGTGATGGTTGGAATAACAGATTGGACGAACTTGAGAAAAATGATAAGGTAGTTGTAGACCTCTAGCTCTTTGCCATTGTCTCCCATCGTCCTCATGATTTTCTTCATCATCTCAGCATGTCTAGTGCAAAAAGGAGTGAGCTACAAGTTTGCTGATATTAAACAGTGTGGACTAAATACCTGCAAGGATGCACTGAAGCCATCATTCCGGGAATGTGGGGATGCCATTCCATGGTTACCGTTTTCTTTGCGTGATCTTGGCTAGTAAGGATAAACATTTGCTTTATAAACTTGAAGCTGAAGGGTAAGGTCAAACAGTCTTTATTACCTGATGTCCTCGTACATCTCTTCAATTGTAAGAGGTTTGTTGTGCTCATCGTAGCCTACTAGCCAAAGCCTGGGAGTCTGGTAATACTTGTCATAGGTGATGTACAAATCGTAAGTGCGCGTCTTCACGACGCCACTCTCTTCAGAAGACGGTTTCCCCTCGACGTTGAGCTTGTTCAAATTCTCTGAAATCTTTGTGATATCAATTGCAGCCTGAGAAAGAATAAACATATTAAAATGGAAGCAAAATAGTGAAACACTCACCTCGTCGTTCTCGTCATCGAGTCGTTCGTTCACAAAGCTTTCAATGTCTTCAGCTTCACTATCATCGCCATCATCTTCAACGGTGGGAGTGGGTTTACTTTGAGCAAAAGCTTCAACTTCCTTTGCTTCTTCACCCAGAGTCACTTCGTCATCGGCTTCTTTGGCGTCATTGAAATAATGAGTATCAACCCAGCCACCTTCTCCGTCATTTTCATCAATCAGATACTCGTGAAATTTCATCGACTCTACATCTTTGTAGCGCTTAAAGCATGGCACTAAAAATCAAACACATACTCGATGTTAGTTGAGCGCAAATATTTAATTTTTAAAACATTTTCACCATTTTTAGTAACCAAAAATTGTTTTTCATTTGGCAGAAAATCCTTTGCTTTGGACTTATCACCAGATTGCCATTTCCACGTAGGACAATGATGAACCAGGTGTTCACCAGCAGCTACAAACTGTCAAAAGTTTAAAAAATAATCACATTAGGTGAGATAAAAGAAGATACTGTTGAAAGCTAACCTCTTCAGGAGTGAGAACACCAGTTTCCCTAAACTTTGATTCCTAGGATAAGGAGAAAATTAAAACGCACGTTAGTCGTAAAAACTGAAAATTGCAAACTAGAAAATGCTCATACCTTAAGAACTGGAGTAAAATACTCGGCCACACGCAAAAGCATGGACATTTTACTAACGATCTGAAAAAACTAGAAAAAAGGAGATAAAAGAAGTGGGATTGAAGAAGGATAAAAACAGTGCAAAAATTGGAAACTGCGTAAACAACTTTTACACCTCTCATCTGTTGTAGTGGTTCTTCTCTTTTGCCAGCACTTGCCAGTCGCGACACCTACAGGAAAGATAAACAAGCCCACTTTAGTTAATAAAACAAATCATAAGACGATAACTTCTGTCAATTGGCAGAAATTACAAAACTCCTTTTTTCTTGTTATCTAATTGTTACAAATTAAATTATTTTTAAATAATTTGAACTTTAATTATTTTCTAGCATTCTTAAAAGTATATGGTTTTAAAATCGATTTTTGATAAAATTCGATTTTCGAAACACAAGAATGCTTCACTGGAACGGCTATAACTGTTTACAAAAATGAAAAATTTTCTATAGGCAGAGATTAGAAAAGATTTGGTATAAGTTAGTTTTTTCAGCTGATACCCGAATTTGCATCGAAATCAGCGATCTGATAGTGTCAAGGTAGGCTGCGACCTCTGTGGGCGAAGAAATCAGCTGAGCAGGTTGTGCTGCCTTCTGATTGGTCGGCAAACTTCAAATCGTGGCCGTTGACTGTTTTCTAAACGGTCGCAGCAGCATTCAACTTTGGCCTTTTAATCGGCAAAGCCAGCTCGCTGACTACTCTTCCACCGGCCTTTTAACTGCGCGGACGGTCGACGCTCTCCAGCCAGCTTTTATTTCGTGCATCTCTTCTCATCCCTGCTTTTATCTAGTTTCTTCTAGGAAGGATGTCTCTGGCACAGAAGAAAGCCCTCTCCAACCTGAGCAATTTGGTGGGCAACAACAACAAGCCGCCTCAAAAGCGAACGCTTGAGTCGCCCAATAACATTGCCAATCTTAAGAAGAAGAATGCAAAGAAAAACCAAGAGAATATTTGCGTTGGAAAAAATGTGAAGGGCAAAGCTGTTGATCCAACTCGGACCATTGAGAGCAAGATTAAGAAAATCGCAATCAAGGATGAAATCAAGGATGAGATGGAGGACTCCATCGTTTTTCTCGCCACCAAAACTCGCCGTCCTGTTTTGGCTCGAGCGGCAAAGACTTTGGCTACTGAAAGTTCCTTAACCATCGAAAAGGCGCCTTCAGTCACTTGGAAGGAGTGCTACATTGCACCGGCCCATCTTCCGGCAAATGTGCCTGACTACGACAGGACCCAACTGAACAACATCGAGTCAGAGCCGCTCTATGCTTATGAAATCTTCGAATACTACAAGCAAAAAGAGCTGGCGACTAAAACGGAAAAGTACATGTCTAAGCAGAATAATTTGACTGACAAGATGCGAGCCGTTCTCGTCGACTGGATGGTCGAGGTGCAGCAGAACTTTGAGCTCAACCACGAGACGCTCTACCTGGCTGTCAAGTTTGTCGACCACTACTTGATGAAAGAGTCCATCACTCGGGCTCGCTTTCAGCTCCTAGGACTGACTGCCGTCTTTGTTGCTTGCAAGCTGGACGTAAGTTTCCTTCAGCAAACGTTTCTATTTAAAAACTCACTGTATTCTTTTTCATTTCTTTCAGGAGAGAATCTTTCCCACCATTGACGATTTCATCTACATCAGCGATGATGCCTACACTCGAGAGGACTTTATCGCGATGGAAATCGAGCTTCTGAAAGTGTTGGATTTCAACCTCAACTTTCCGCTGTCATACAGCTTTTTGCGAAGATTTGCCCGATGCGCTTCTCAGTCAATTGAAACGCTCACTTTGGCGCGGTACATTCTCGAGTCTTCGCTGCTAGACTACTCCGTAGTTGATGAGCTTGACTCAAAGAAGGCTGCCGCCTCTTTGCTGCTGGCCCTGAAAATGAAGAACCTGAAATGGGTATGAAATTTTAGAATACTTTGTTTTTGTCTGCTCATCTAACTTTAATTTCATTCCATAGAATGACTCTTTGGTCTTCTACTCGGGCTATTCTGAATGTGATCTGGAAAGCTTGGTAGTCATCTTGAACCGGCTCATTTCAACTCCAAGCAAATACGAGAACATTCGGAACAAGTATTCCGACAAGTAAGCATTTGATACACTACTGCTTGAGTTTACTTGATTCATTTATAACCCTAACTTTAAATTTTAGAGTCTTTTTTGAGGTCGCAAAGCTAAAACCGATTAGCATCTGATCGGAAGTTGCTGTTGATCAGACAACAATTTGCATGAAAAGCTTTTTCGATCTCATTATCATGCAATTAAATGTACATATCGAAGCATTTTATTTATTTTTACCTACTATCGCCATTTTCGATTTCCCTTGTAATTACTTTCACGTGTACACTTCATAGCCACATTTTACATTTCCCATTTTTACTTTTTACATGCATGCACAACTTTGATCTTTACTTGTAACACTGCATCATTTAATAATAATCAAATGTACACAGAAAGTCTTATTAGGATATTTACATTGTTTTTAGTGAAACATTTGTATAATAAAGTTGTAAACCTTAGACTCGTTTCTTGTCGGTTAGTACGCGAATAATTGAACCAACGCCGCCTTTGTTGAAAGCCTTATCGTGCCACACGAGCAAGTGGGCGCTGCTACCATCCGTTGGCACCTCAAATCCACGGTAAATGTACTTCATTAGAATGTCCACTTCATCAAAGTTGAGATCATTTACTACTGCTTCAATCTCAGAGATACGGATAGATAGGAGAATCTTGAGAACCAGTGCAAAGTTAGCATCCCGAGAATACTGGCTTTTAGAGCCGATTGGAGCAGAGTTGAGAGCCAGTTTCAAGGCCTCTTTGTGCTTTCCAGCGTTGAGCAAGTTGGATACTTCCTTTTCATCCAACGTCAGACTTGCCGGGCTAGAAGCATCCCCTTGGTCTTCCTCTTTAAAAACATCTTCGCCAAACTGGTCAACGTCAATTTTTCGGAACTGACTGCTCGAGGTGTTTTTCGCCATGATGTCTTCAACCTCAAAAGGATTCGGCACACGATGCAAGATGCAAAAAGTCAGATGGTAAGTGAAAACAACAAATAGCAAATCTCTCGAGTTGTCAACAACACCGACACACCTAAAAATTACTCTAAAAAAGTTTTTAGAGCAAGCGCTAGCACCATCCAATGGCGAATCGAGTAACCACCAGCGCTCAAGCTGCTACTTGTTGCATAGCAGCGCAGACCGACACCGATTAGATTGCTGCTTGTTCAGGAAGCGGCAAATCAAATGAGGATAACTTTCGTTACAAAAACTTTAATTAAATAATAATAAACCATTTATTAGTTAAGAACTAGTTGCGTAATCAGTGATGATCAAATAAATATATCGGAAAGGCTCACTCAGTCCACTCGATATAAATAACAAATGGCGATGGCAATGAAAGGTGTGCATGCGGTAGAGGTGCGCGATCAAATGGTGGGAAATGTATATTCAATAAATATATGCACAGTCGAATATAAGTGGACAGTGAAAAGGAGAGAGAGAGAAAGAGAAAGAGACGGGCAGAACTGAGAAACAGATTTGAGAGAGAATATCGAAAATGGAAAGTACCAGCGAGAGGTGTGTAGAGTGTGGTCGCAGCCAATGGACTCCAGTGAGAGCCTGTTCCAGCCATTGTCTCAGTGGGCCCAATGTAGAGAACCCTTTTTTGTTCACTTGCGTTTGATTCGCTTGTTCACCTTGCCCTTGCTGAAGCGACCATTAGCATCAAACTTGCCAATTTCCTTTAGCTTTTGTCGCTGTTGGATCATGTTGCGCAGACTGACTAAAGTGGAGGGACTGGCGCCGGTGCCGTGGCGAACGTGTTTGCCCGTCAGCGGTCGGCTGATGCGCTTTCGGTCAAAGGGCAGGCCGCAGTTGGTAGTGTCGGCAGAGCGCAGTTCGGCGCGAGATCCACTGACGATGAAATCGGGTGAGGCACGCTTACTTTCGTACGGCGTACAGCCACCACTATCAAGTTTATCAACCGACGCTGAAGAGGACTGCGGAAAGACGGTTTGCTGCTGCTGCTGTTGGTGCTGCTGTTGCTGTTGCTGTATTTGCTGTAGCTGTGTCTGTTGGTGGTGTTGCAGTGCACTGTGCTTGCTGCCCTCTTCGCCAGCGCTGGAGTGCATCAGCTTGGCATAGGTCTCAGCGACGGCGGCCACTGCAGCTCTGGAAGCCAATGAGGGCTCCTGAATGAGATAGTAGTAATACTGCCGGTAGATGTCCAGCGGCAGTGCCACCGGATGCTTTAGCTCTAATTTGGCGGCATCAGTGCATTCGCTCATGAAGCTAGTGCCTGTCTTCTCCTGTCCATTCAGCTTGCCGCCGCTCTTGTCCAGTCCATTGGGCAACTTGTGCAGTGGTGCGTTGTTTGTCATTCGCAAATCGAGAGCATTCTCCGCCGTCCCCCGTCCCACGTCCTTGTTCTCATTGTCCCAGCATTCTGTCAGTGTGTTGGCAATTGGTTAGTGGCATTATTCAACAAACACTCGTACTCAGTACTTACCAATCACTTCCTTGCGGTAATTTCGATAAAATCGAGTAGGCGTTCCATTATGACTTTGGTTTAGAGCATCTTTGTTACTGTTTTCCTTGCATTCTTTATAGTTTTCCTTCATATTCTGATAGTAGTTAGAGGCAAACATTTTCTTAGGCGCACAATTTTTAGTAGGACTAATGCTTAGGGACTTGATGAAATGCAGATTTTGCTCAGATTTAGTGCGACGCAAGTTTCTAGTGCTATTGGAGGGTCGATTGCTTCGACCAGCAGAGGGAAAAAGTGATAGATTAGGCTGGCTGGAAAACTTTCTCAATTTGCCTCGATTAGTGTTGCCCTTGCCGCTGGAAAGCATTTGAGATCCATTTAAAGTGGGTGTGATCGTTGAATCCTGTGTGAGTCGGACAGCACCTGACCGATGAGTGCGACGCACTGTCTCATTCTGCTGCTCGTGCTGAACCTGTTGCATATGCTGATACTCGTGATCGTAGGGCGACGAGGGCACCGAAGAGGAGGAGGACTCGCTAGACAGTGCCGCTCGATCACCGTCTGACAGACGGTCGACAGGCTGACGGTGGAACAAATGGTGAGGGTGGTGGTGGTGGTGGTGATGGTGTGCGTACGGGTCCAACTTGAAGGGAAAGATCAGCCCATCTTGTGGCAGTCTGTAGGGCAGTCCGTACGGCTCGTACAATAACTCATCGTGGCTCTTTCGGTCCATCTCGTGACTGGGCAGACAGCTGGAGTTTATAAATAAGTAGGGAAAGATGGCCGGCGAGTAGCCATACTGTTTGGCCAGCAGGTTTGGGAAGCAGTACTTTGCAGAGGTCCATTCGTGGCCGTGCGGCGGACTGTGAAAGGACGAATGGTCGAAGGCCTTGAAGAGGCCAAAGTTGTGGTCACTGGGCGGTGAGGAGCGCTTTGTGCTCAGGTCAATGGGAATGTCCTCTTTGAAGGGAATCTGGCTGGGCTCGCAGTGGCTGGCCGTGGAGAGCAGTGCGTAGTTCAGATAGCGTTCTTTGGGCTTCATGATCGCTTCTAGGAAAACTCGAGTCGCTGGCAGGCAGGTTCAGTCAGAAGCGGATGTGAGGTGCATATCTGCAACAGAATAATGATGGCATTAATGGGCGAACTTGACCGTCTCAACCTGAACAGTCAGCTTGGATGCAGACGACGCAAGACATGATTCGATTGGTGGAGGAAGTGGCGACGGCAGTTGTCAATTAGAATAGCAGCATAGTACCTTTGGAAGCCGACTAGGATCGATGTGAACCTGCGCAACTGTCAAAGTGGCGTGCGGATGTGCTCGGCTCGGTGCGTCTGGCGAACCTGTGAGACAAAGTAAGAGAGGTGAGAGGCAGTGGATACTCTCCGCAGTGATGCAGTGCTCCAGTCGAGAGTAGCTTCCACCCGTGTGACGGCCATTAATTGTGCCCTTGCCACTGGAAGACAATTGATTTGAGGCTAATTTTTTTGCCGCACACATTACTAATGTACACAGGCTAAATTACAAATCTCCGCCTGGACGAGTTCGATCAAGTCATTGGTCACTGACTGACTGTGTCGACTGCTGTGGCAGTGGGCAAAGGCGGCAACGGAGATGATGCCCAGCGAACCAGTGCCTGTCATCTTCCATCTTTGACAATTTTGTCCGATTCGCACCGAAACACCTGAAAACTACTAAACATTTGAATGTGTGTATGTCAGGGCGCACAATGAACTGAAAGCTTGAGATGGCAAGCACAAAGCAAGGTGGAGATGTTTGTTTGTCTCAAAAGTTTGTGCCCAAAAATTCAATGAATAAAGGCTGAAGATGCAAATCAGAGGAGGGCACCTTTGCTACGGCTGTTGGGCCCAGCGGGCCACTTCGATGGTAGTTTCAACAATGACCACTGGTGCGGTGATGCCAATGACCGGAGGTGAGGATGGTAATACCTGCCTGAGTGGTGAGAATTGCAGTGCTCAACTAATGTAGTCGATTACAGGAAAGAACGAAGAGTGTGTGTGTGCGAACGATGATCCGAACGAATGCGATGAGAAGACAAATTTAATTAAATTCAAATGAACACAAGAAAATGAACCAATAAATGAAGCGATGCACCAAGTCAATGCGACGACAACGACGCTGTGATATATCTGCCGCCTGTTTTTTCTTGCTGCTGGCGACAGAGAGTTGGTCGGCTGAGCAATCGAAAGGGAAGCAGTTGCGTTCTAAAGTGGCAAATGCAACTGATGGAGCATGCAGTCGGCTCGGTGAGCACTGGAGCACCAGTCAGTTTGCAAATCGTGGAGCCGAAGGGGCTTGCCCTGTCCACTGCACTGTCAACTCTACCTATGCTTTGTTTGTTTGTTTACTGGGCCCGGTGTTCGCGTGAATTTGCATATCATTTGAGCGCGGGTGGCATATCTAGGTCACTTGGTGCCGCCTGCTATAAACTGCAAATGGTCCTCATTGACCACTGGTCACTGACAGTGCCGTTGACCAAACGGTCTCACTGCTACACTTTTACTCCCCCGCCCTTGCTCTCTCTCTCTCTCTCTCTCTCTCTCTCTCTCTTTCTCTCTCTATTTCTCTCTTTTGCAATCCAGTCAACTGACATTCGTCCCGGGAACTACTGCCTTGACTGAAGGGCATTCTATGATTCTAGCAACCGTAACTTCAAGCATTATATGTAACCTGATATAAGATTCAACAATT